ACAAAGTGGAACGCTCAGGTCTTCCTTGGCACACCCCCAGGTTCAGGGATTCGGGGTAGAGCAGGGTTTCCAGTTGACTATCAGTATTCTCATGTGTCAGTGCAAGGATAGACTGTTCTCAGCAGAGACCCTTTGTTTAGGGACTGAGGGGGATCTGTTGAGTAAAAAGTCATCCTAAAGGGAAAGAGCTCACCCCAGTGAGTTGGGCCCATCAAGAGACTTAGCCATTTGATGGGCAGGAGGTCAGAAAGTCGAATTCAACTGTATACATCATTTTGTAGGAACAACATGAAGTACAGTCTATTTGTGCTCACTTTCCTAGAAAGGAGACGCAAAGTAACCACAGTGCCTCCGTGGCTTCAAGGATGGAGCCAGAAGTCAGATCCTGGGTGTGTGGTCCAAGCAGATGCCCCTTGACAGTTCCAGCAAGACCAGTCATGCTTCGGCATACATGTGAGGCTTGCTTGGCACCTCCAGAAATCCCTTGGGAGTGACCTGCAGTAGGCAATGTGTCACGCACGAATTGCTAACAGCAATTGGAAAACGTGGGCGAGGACTGGAAGCTGGAGGCCCGAGGCTGGTTGAGTTCTGCTAGGAAGCTGAACAGCACAGCAGAATTGAACAGGACAACAGATCCTTCTCTTGAAGTCGCTTGTCACAAGTTTCATGAGCCCCCAAGTGCCCTCCTCTACTCAGGCCTAAAACAGGGGTCCTTCCCCAACCCTCACCTCTCGATATTGCCCAGACTGTGAGCAACCTACAACACATGCTTTCGTGCCCTTCTGAGCAGAAAGGAGGAGCAAAGGGGACAGGGGTAGGGGGACCTCAAGGCCAAAGCAGAGCAAACCCAGAGTCCAAGAAGGAAGGTACGGATGCGGAGAGCACAAACTGCTGGTTTGTTTTCTGAATTCTCCAAGCTGTCATTCACAAAAGCAATGCTGCTTTTTTTTTTTTTTTTTCAGAGTCGACTTTGAGAAGCAAAAGAAGCTGAGTCCTTGGCCATCAACATGCATGGCTCTTAGGACCTGCTTGCTCTTTCCCTTGGACACGCCTGGTGTGTGGGGGGTGGGGGGTGGGGGAGAGGGACTGTTGAACTATATTATGCAATAAAGCAGAATCTTGGGGGCAGCCAGCATCCTGAGCAGAGATAGTTCCATGAGCAGCTGGTACGACAGGTTGGTATAGCCCAGCTCTCAATCTGAGCCGTCCGTAGTTTACCCCGCTCCAACTCCCAGAAGAAGATATGCATGGGCATTTTCCCGCTCACTTCCACTAAATCTTGGCTCATCAAGCAAGAGTGATTGACAGCCCCCACAGGCTGCTGAGCAAGTATGTGAAAGAGGGGTCCGGGAGAGGCCTCCTCCACCTGTTCCTCTTTTCTTTATCACTTCGTATCCAGAGGGGTCCCTAAGCCCCGAGTGAAGGGTCAAGTGCAAATCTGGTAAACCAAGCCGCCCCAGCAGTTGTCAGGTTAATTAGCCTTAAGGAAAATTATGTGGCTATCTGAGCAGAGTGGGGTTGCTATAGAGACAGGCACAGGAGGTGCATTTAGAGCAGGGCCCCATCACATCACCAGACAAAAGTACGACTGAGGCTTTTTAATAGAATGAGTTACTTAAGTTTTATATTTAACAGGGGACAACACCAAGGCTATTACTGGTTTTCAGAATATTTTAGGAATCTGGACTGACTGCCGCTGCATATGTTAACAGTCATCACTGCATGGGCCGCGGGGGGCAGCAGTTAAGCACTGGATGCCCATGTGTCACTCCCAGCTCCTGAGATGAGAGATGGCCCTTCTCACTTCGAGTTTGTCCTTCCTTAATTGGGTGAGAGATTTTCAATGTGCTTCGGAGAATGGTCAGCTGAGAGCCACACTGCTCAGCAGTGCTCCTTTGCATGTGCCACACAACAACAACAACAGTAATAATAATAATTAATAATAATAATAAACATGAGGTAATTATCTCACTTTTCAGATGAGAAGAAATGAAGCTCAGAAACATCCAAAACCTACCCACGATCACACAGCCAATAAAAGGTACCACTAGAATTTAAATTCTGAGATCCCTCTAGCAAAGCCCACTGCTTTATAAAATGGCATTACCACTGAGACCTCTGAACAGACAGGAATGGGGAGTGGGGTAGATCTAAGGAGGGGCTCTCGTGTCACTGAGCGACAGCACGGAGCTTGCCATACTTTAGTTTCCCCTGGGATTCTGATTCGTCCTCACTAATGAGTACCTCACTAATTATAGGAAGTTAATTTCAAAGTAACTCCCGTGCGTTTCTCAGCATTCTGTTACAGTGACAAAACACCTGGGTCGCTCTGCATCAAAGAAGGAAGGCTTGGATTTGTCTCACAGTCTCGGTGGTCTCAGCTGGTGGTGCTTCATATGGTGGGAACCCACAGTGGAGAAGTTCACCTCGTGGTGTCCAGGATGCATGGCGGGGAAGCAGGAAGAGACTGTCGTCCCAATGTCCCCTCCAAGAACACAACGCCAATAACTTCCCCCTCTCAGATCCTATCTATCTCTTAAAGATCCGTCCATCCTCCAGGGACATCACAGGCTTTAGAGGCCATTCTGTGTGCAAACCATAGCACTCTCTGAACCATCCGGCAAGCAACCAGGATGCTAGTTCCCAAGGTGGTGGGAGTGTGGTTAACATAAGAGTGCACGCTGAAAGTCAGTAAGACCATGCCTCAGTCCCTGTACACATCAAAGCTTAATCTATGAAATCAAGCTAGGAGTTCAAAGTGAACTTCTTCCATCTCTGGGTTATTCAAACCCCCCTATTCTGCAGAAGGGTGCTTCCAAAAACTATACTTTAATTATTTTTTTCTGTGAAGGAATATGTGGTAGACTCCATCGATGTTCACAAGGCTTCAAGACTCTAAGAACAAATGTCTAGGGCAGAACTCAAAAAAAAATGCTAATCAAAGCATCAGACGACTGAACAAGACAGAGGCAGAAAATGTATAGAAGCCAAGGACTGGAGACTTAGCCTCAGACCTGAGTAGGAGACTCGGGACCACAGGGAGGTACATTGGTATCCCCAAGCAGAAGGAAGCATGTCCAGCAGCCTTCAGTGAGAGTGTCTGATGCAGATGAGGTAACATGTAAGGTGGCATGCAAGGGAGATGGCATCCAGGTCTTCCCTGCACAGGACAGGGTCTGGGATCAGCTGCCACCTACCGTGTCCAAAACCTTCCTTAGCACCATTCTACCCCGTTCCCTCCCCAGGACATACACCTTGCAAATTCTGTGCTGGCGTTCCACCAGCAGATTCACAACTGGATTGTAGGACAAGGAAACAAGATGTTAAACTCAAGTTGTCTCCTCAGGTGACCCGTGTTAATTTATTTCCCTCTCAGAGTGAAAGGTAAGTCTTTCTTATATATCTATAACCATTCATAAGTATTCTATTTCATTGCTTATATTTATTTAGTGTAGTGGGGTGTGTGTGTGTGTGTGTGTAGTGTGGTCTCCCACATGTACCATGGTGCATATGTGTAGATCAGACGACACCTTGCAAGAATCCTCTCCTTCTACCATGTGGGACCCAGGGATCAAACTCAAGCCTCGAGATTTGGTTGCAAGCCCCATTTCCTACTGAGCTATCTCACCAGCCCAGGATCCTTTCTATATTCTTTTCAAATGATTTTTTAGCCTCAGATAATACACACATTCTTTTTAAATACTATATGAGAAGAGAAGTTGTATGTAGGAGTAACTATAGAAATGTTTTTAGTAGTTTCTAACTGTAATACAGCTTAATTGATAGCCTGCTCATTTACATTTGTGACGTCCCAAATTCAATCCCCAGCACCACATAATACCAGGCTTGTTCAATCATTCCTGCAATACAAGTTCTGGGGAGATAGAGTTTGGGTATTTAGAGGATCAAGGTCTTCCTGGACCACACAATGAATTTGAACATTTTGTCTTGCTGAAATGATCACTCAATGGTTATATAATATGGAAAATGAGTGGTGGTCATTGAAAAGCTGTTTACAAGCAATGTCACGAACAGCTTTTGAACCGGTACAGAATCCTCCAGCTCTAACCCTGCCACTCACTGCCTGCCCATGGTAATTCAAACAAGCCACATAACTTCTCTGCGACTTGACTTTTGCAACTGTCAAGTCGGGAATGCTATCAATTAGAAGCCAATGGTGAACTGAGGCAGGAGAATGGCCTGATACCACTGTCACCTCTGGATGAAAGCCATGGCCAGAAAGGGTGAGCAGGAGAAGGCGACCCTATCCCTCCCTGTCTCCACAGCCCTCGTTTCTCTGGACAGCCACTCTCCTCTATGCTCAGTACAAAATATGCCCTGTTCCGGTAGATGAGCCCTGCTCAGCCATGAGCTCTTTCCATGAATAGGTCTTGAGAGCCACTTGTAGGCCACCATCCATCACCTGCCCTCACGCCCCCCCCCAATCTTTCTTTACCCTTTGCCCTCTAAGGAAGCCAGTGCAGTGGGGCCAAGGGCTGCTGCCCAATTTGGGTCCTAGGTGGCCTCTGCCTCCCTCTTTCCTGGGCCCCCAGCCAGCTCCACCCTCCCGCAGAGATGCTCTCTGCTAACTTCATTCCTGCCTCATAGTTGGAATGACAGTGGCTCTCAGAATCCCTGGGGAGTGGAGAGGGTGGTGAGGGTCTGGGGAGGCAGCCAGGCCCAGGAGCAGGTTAATGTTACAGCCCTGGGTAAGTGAGCTGGGCCGGCTGACGTCAGGGTGATGATGGGTGGAGGGTAGGGCCGGGTTACTGAACTATAGGTCAAATCAAAGAGAACCACCTTGGGACAGAGCCCTGCATGCCGGCTAGAGAACGTCCCCACGCCATGGTCCATACCGGCCACAGCTCAGCCTGGGTCCTTCTGCTCTCAATCCGAGCGCCTGAAGCAGGCTTTGGTTTCATGTCAGCAGCCTTCATCTGCCTTCCAAAAATAAGCCCCTGCCGCCATGCCGAGGGGAGAAAAACAAGAAGGGCGGTATTTTTAGGGCCATTAATTCTGACCACGTGCCTGAGAGGCAAGGTGGATGGCCCTGGGACAGAGGCTGTTCATCACTATGTCCCGGGGAGCAGGACGTGTTCAGGGCACGCTGCAGGCTCTCGTCTTCTTAGGCGTCCTAGTGGGCATGGTGGTGCCCTCACCTGCCGGCGCCCGCGCCAACGGCACTCTACTGGACTCCAGAGGCTGGGGCACCCTCTTGTCCAGGTCTCGAGCTGGGCTAGCTGGAGAGATTTCGGGTGTGAACTGGGAAAGTGGCTATTTGGTGGGCATTAAGAGACAGAGGAGACTCTACTGCAACGTGGGCATTGGCTTCCACCTCCAGGTGCCTCCTGACGGCCGGATCAGCGGAACGCACGAGGAGAACCCCTACAGTGAGTGTCACTAGCAAATAAGCTGGGGTGCTTGGTGGCTTGGGCACAAGCGGGGTCAAACGATGAAGGGGGCTCGTGCTGGTGGGTGGGGCTGCACTCTAAAGGGAAGATGTGTTGATCTAAAAGATCAACTTTTAGATGACTTGATCCCACCCTGCCCTGCCCAGAGAGAGGTGCAGGCTCAGTAAGACCAGACCTATGCATCTTGGTGTCCTTAGCCATCATCCCAGGTAACTCCATCAGTGGTCCTAATTACTCCAGTATTAGTGGTCCAGCTCTGGTCTTTCTGAGAAACTATAACTACTCTGGTAGGGGAGATATTATGATATTCCATCCTGGTTAAAGCCATTAGTTTCTATTCATCTGTCCTTTTTGAAAGAGAAAGGCAAGTAATCTGAAAAATGTCCATCTGAAGCATCTCCTTGGTGCCATGTTTTGGGTGCCTGTATAGACAGTCTTCTGGCCACGGCAGGATAAGAGCTGTAGGGTTCCAGATGAACCATCGGCTCAGTGTAGCTGCAGTGTTTGGGAACTGAGTCAAAGGATGTAGAACAGACTTTAAATAATCAAAATTGATTGATTGAGTGTATGTGTGTGTGTGTGTGTGTGTATGTATGTATGTGTGTATGTATTTATGTGTGTGTATGGTGTGTGTGTGTTTCTGAGAATTAAACCCAGGAACTTAGGGCATGCCATGCAAGTATTGTACCACTGAGCTACATCTCCAACCCCCATCCTTCAAGTCAAGGACCTCAGATGACAGATTCACCAAAAGCCCAGATTCAAAGCTAATCTTAAATAGATGTTTGAGTGTCTGCCGTGATCCCCAATTCCAGTGTAAAACTTTTCCATGAAAAACTGAATATGCTGCCATGATGTGACCAGATGCAGCTGGTGTAGTGAAGGGATGTCATAAGATTGTAACATCACATCAAGGACAGACGTGATGGAGAAGTGGAGCCTCTGGAGAAGGGGGACAGCAGGATGCCTCTGAAGGACTTGAGTTTACAGGACTCTAGTTGATATGAGCATGAGAGTGTGTCCTCTGTTTCTTTGTCAGGCCTGCTGGAAATCTCCACAGTAGAGCGGGGTGTGGTAAGCCTCTTCGGTGTGAAAAGTGCTCTCTTCATTGCCATGAACAGTAAAGGAAGACTGTACACAACGGTGAGTTCCGAGGGAGAGGGAAAGCTCCTGGGTTCTCTTTGTGTTCACACCATTGAGAACAACAAATATACAACACTGAGAGTTGAGGGTTTTGGAGGGTGGGGAATTAAAAGGGACTGTGTATAGCAAGGTGCCTTGCAGCACTTTTTCATGGTGAAACACTTCCTCTGTTTCACCATGAAACCTCTGCACATGCCTGCGGTTCTTCCAACCCACCACAGAGACCCTTGCCCTTAAAGAACCCATAGTTCAGAGAGCTGTTGGGTAGGGAAGCCTGCCTTCTGACACAAAGCTGTTATTCAAACTCAGGCAGGTCTGAGTCACTGAACTGGAGAAGCCCAGAAAGGCAGGTCTGTGGGTCATCCCCTCCAGGAGACACTCCACCAGAGTGGTACAGGAGGTCTGTAGAAGGAGGCTATCTCTCTTCTTCACTAGTGATGAGAGACTTTAGCCTGAGTTTTACGGACCTCTGGTCTCTGATCCCCACAGTCTATGGTAGTATCTTCCTCTGTCATACCTCCCCAGCAGGCACTGGGCCCCACCTCACTCTGCACCAGAGATCATTGTGGGAGGACCCATGCATGCTAAGAGGCAAATTCTCCAGTGTAAGGGCAAGCATTAACTGTGTTCGCCAAAGCCTCTGCTTTCTCTGACCCATTTACTTCCAGGGCTCTCAGCTTGCGACTTGGCCTATTTCAAAATGTGTTAGAAAAACATTCTATGAAATTGATAAAACCAAGACGTCCTTAGAAGTAAGGAAGCTCGATCTAGTAAGTGCTCGAGTGCTTACCTTGTATGAATGTGAACTCAGGGAAGTTCATCCCCTAGCACCCAAAAATGAGAGGGCAGTGGCTAAATAGCAAGGAGCCTTGATGCACTAGAGGAGAGTGTAGAGTCTGATCCTCCCATTCCTTGAAGGAACGAGATGGGGGATAGAAAGGGGCCACCAGCCCCAGGACAAGTGCTAGATTCCCCAGGGAAATCTCTCAGCAACCGAGGTCTGGAAAAGACTCAAGTGAGCTAGTCTGTGTGAGTTAGTCAGACGGCATCTGCTTCCCAGCCTTTTGAGCAAGTGTCTCAAAGTTGGCTTATGGTGTGAGCTAAAACCATTGCTTCTCCAGCACAGTTCTGTCGGTGCTCCTGTGCACCCATCACTTTGTAATCTGTTAGATGCAAGGATTTCCAGGACCCGACTCAGAGGCTCAGAGGGCTGGGATGAAGATTGTGAAGACTGTCAATCTGTCCAGCTCTGTGTTCAGTTTTTTTTTTTTTTAAGGTTCTGAAGTGTTTTTTGAGGCTCAGGTAGGTGTGGGTGCTATCAGGCTCTATGGCCTATGGAGAACAAAGAATTTCATCAGTTCTGCCTAGTGTTAATCCATCCTTTAGAACAGCAGAAGACAGGGTCCAGACATGGAATTCTCAGATGCCAGTTGTACCAGTCTCTGAGAAAGTTGGCAGGGCAGGAAGCAGCCTGAGACCCCCAAGAGGCTTTGGTGGAATTGGCTGCTTGGTCCTTCTGTAGGATGAGTCCCCCAAAAAGCTTCTTATCACCAGCCCCCACAGTACCCAGAATCCCACTGACAGGGAGATCTGAGACAGCTGTCTCTGGGATTCTGCATGGGCATTTTAACAGGCAAATCTGCCAGAACCCCAAATTATATCAACTTCTGTCACCTTAATTAACATATTTTTTCTCAACTAGAAAAGAATTCATTTGTGGCCAGGGAGAGGGTCACAAACATTGATTGGATAAATTTGCCCACGTTCCACTTGGAATCTCTGGTTCTAAGAGAGGCTGAGGACTGGAAACATTTTGGCTATCAGAGAAAACGTCCCCAAAGGGTAGACCCTCTCACTGTAGCAAAGCTCTCTGAGGTGTGGGACACCCAGACTCCCCAGGCAAATGGTTCTAAAGAGACCTGGTGTAATCACTAAACAGCAGTTGCTGGGGAGAAGGGAGACTACTCTGAGAGAAGACCCTCTGGTATCCGTATCCAGTAGCCTGGGAACTAGAGATTCTCCTCCCTAGACCCTGAGGCCAGAGAGTTGGCTACAGTTGGACAGCAGTGCCCCAGCCAGGGCACCTGATGCTTTGTGTGCGGCTAGGGAACCAGATGCTCCTGAACCACCCTTCCCCATCCTCCACCCCTCCGCAGCAGTTACCACAGTCTAAAAAAACAATTGCCAACTGATCCCAGGAGCCAGGAAGACTCCTGCTGGGTGGTGATTTCATTCACACTATTTCCCTTTAAGCCCCCCTGAGCTGCCTCCTCCCTCGGTAGATCAGCTGCTGTAACCTCTAAATGGCATTTCTCGTGAGGGGGGGGGGGAAGGGGGCTGATAAGGAGGAAAAGGCAGCCCTCCTGTCATGGGAGACTAGAGGTAAGGAAAGGGCACCTAGAAGTGCTCTTCCTTCTTACAAAGGGGTGTGGAACCTAAGGGCAGTTTCAGGCTCTCTCTGCAGATGACAAGGGCAGCCCTCCTGTGCTGAGCTGGTAGAGATTATCTGAGATCCTGCAGAGTGGTTATAAGTTATAAGCAAAGCACTGCCCTGCAGAATCCGGAGAAGCATTTGGTCTTTAGCCTCCCTTTGCAGGCAGAGACACAGGGTGTCTACAGTCTCCGGCTACTGTTCGTTTGCCCGGTTGCAGCTATGTGCATCCCTCGGTTCTGCAGATAATGCCCAGAAAGCCCTCGGGGGAAGTGTATTTGGCCAGAAAGACTGGAACCAGGGTTCCCATTGTCGCCTGGTCCTGCTCTCTAGCTGACCAACTTGCTTTAGGCAAAGTCACTGGTGCTTCTCTCAGCCTGGATCTTTGCCATCTTGGATGGAGACTGGAGCAGAATGAGGGAATCCAACATTGTCTCTCCCCTTAAAATCCAGAAAGCCATCACAGAGCCCCTCCCGACGGTGGTTCTGTAGCCATTCACAGATTGAGAAGAATACACGTTGCACTTTGGAGGGGTTAAATACTGTGTTTACATACTTCTAACCAATAGGAGCACAGTGCCATGGAAATCACAAATCTCACTCCTGTCTTCTCTCCTCTGACTGGGAGTAATAGGGACATGTGGCCAGAGCACATACAGGATGAAGATTGTACTGACAGAGATGGCTTAGCTCTGCATTTGGACAAGAGGATGGGTGTAATAGCTGCTCTCCCTCCCCAACTTTTGGGACCATTTCTGCCAAAAGCATTTTCCCCTAAACGCCCATGGGTGCCCTATTTTCCACAGTGCTTTTGCACCGAGGGAGTTGAAAGGCTATTTTTTTTTTCAATTGTATTTGGTAGAATCCAAGACATTGTCACGCTGTCGCTTGAGAGTGGCAGGCCAGGGAAATGTGATCTGGTGGAATTATTTTCATTTGTTCAAGTAATAATACACGGTAGCCGCTTTTCTTAACACGGTGTTCGCTTGGCTGGGGGGCCTTCCTCCCCAAGCCAATGATTCAGAGTTCCTGAGCCATGAGACCTCAAAGCCCAGAGGTGTGATGGAGGCAACAGAGAGGCTGGGTCCCAAGCACTGCCGCAGTCCTGTGGAAAATGCCACCAGTTACAATCCTGGGGAGGGCGAATCAGTGCGTTTAGGGAACTATACTGTGATGTCTCGTCATAACCGCTACCCCGCCCTCAAACCACCTGAATGTGATGTATGGTTGGGGACTGACAGGAGGTGGAGCAGGTAGGGGGCGGGCCAGGCAAGGGGCGGGGCATGTAGGAGGTGCCTAAAGAATAGGAACCCTGTTTCCGTTTCCTGTTTGTAGAGCGTTCTGGGAAGGCCGGGGAAAGGAGATAGGCTGGAGAAAGGACAGGAAGGATGTGAAAGCAGTCAACTTTAAAAATAAAATAAAAATAAACAGGGGGATTAGGACAGATTTGAATAATCAAATCTGCTGAGCAGGGCTGGGGCGTGGTTGGGAGCTGGTCTAGAGCACAAAGCTCTGAGTCCCATTTCCAACACTGCCCCTGCCAAAGTGTCTGCTGGACAAAGGGGATTGTAGCCTCTTTTGATATCCTCAGGGACTTGGTTCCGGTAACCCATGGATTACTGGAACGCTAAATCTCTAGATGCTGAAGTGCCTCATAAAAAAACGATCTAACATCTTCATATGACCTACGTGCATCCTCTTAGACATCTGAGCTCACCATTTGATTTTTAAAAATCTGTGCATGTTCAAGGCAGATGCAATCTCTTTTCAAATATGTTTTGGTCCATGGTTGGTAGACTCTAGGGGTACAGAACTCTCAGAAACACGTGGCAATCTGTATATGCACCCACAAAGACGCGGGTGTTTTAAAAAACGCTGCTTCTTAGCCCGACACATTCTAGACAGTGGGATGTGGGCAATGCCCATAGTTCTCAACCCAAGGGCTCATTCCTCCGCCTTCCTCCTCTTCCTCTGTTCCACATTGCTCTCCACCCTATGGCTTGCTCTCCTCTCACCCTCTCATGGATCTGCAAACAACATACCAAAGCCTCTCCCTAATCACCATCCAGATCAGAAATAAATTCCCCTGGAAACTGACGAGGCAAGTTCCTCTCCAGGGACAGGGACATACAAAGTTAGAACAGAAGGAAAGCAGGTAGGTGGGGGGAGGGAGCTGGGGGGGTACAACCTCATGCAAAGAGACCTCTGGTCTAATAAGACTCCTCCCTCTACTTCCTGGCCCATTTTGGATCCAGAACTCCTCTACCATTTTTAAATAAATTGCTTATGTAGGTAGATAACACATGAAAAACATTTAAGAAAGAAGAAACAAAAGAGCAAAAGATTCCCACAGGACTTAAACCTCCTACCTTCGTCTTGATGGCTATGAGTTCTTCCTGAGAGGTGACCTGTGTGACCAGTTGCTTATGGACCATTCCAGGAATAACCTATACATGCATAAGTGTATGTTCAGGTAGCTTTGAAAAGTCACACTTCAGAGGTTCAGGGTGTTTTTAAATTTTATGTGAGCGAGTGTTTTGCCTGCATATATGTCTGTGCACTACCTGTTTGACACCCTTGGAGACCAGATGAGGGTGTTAGATCCACTGGGTCTGGACAGTTGTGAGCTACTATGTAGGTTCTGGGAATCAAACCCTGATCCTCTGCAAGACATGGGTTCAAATTGAGCATCTCCACTTGGTAATATGTCTCTGACACAGTCCAGTGTCAATGTGCCAAAGGTTTTCTTTTCGTGGCTTATAGCACCCCATACTGTAGCTTGGTCACAGCCAAGACAACTGCTCCCCTTTTGATAGAGGCTGACTGTTTGGGATTCTTGCTATTTAAAAAGTGTTGTACACGTGTGGAGATATAATGTCAAAATCTGTTCCTAAGAGAATTGCTGATCATCTGTTATCATCATTTAAAAAAAAATTCTAGTAGACACTGTGAATTGCTCTCTATAGAAGTAGCAACACTATACACTAAGGAACATGGAGAATCACCAGTCTTTGGACCCTTCTCAGTTATAGTAGTAAATCTCTTTCTCAATCTGACCATTGACCCCCTGGAATCCTTGTCCCAGATGGGGCTTGGAGTCTACTGGGAAAGAAACATGTTCATAGGGTTCAGATGCTGTTAGAGGCATCTATCTGCCTGAAGGGCTCTAGAGTACTGGTATGGGCTCTCTACCACCCCATAAAAGCAATATAAAGGGACACCTGTGTGTGTCCCCATTGCTGGTGAGCCTAGGTGCTCAGACTTCTTTCAGAAATCAAAGGACAAAGCCTCTGGTACCAGGGAGAAGCCATTGAGCTGAGGTTGCTACCGTGTGTGTGTGTGTGTGTGTGTGTGTGTGTGTGTGTGTGTGTGTGCATATGCCCAGGTACACACATCTATGTCTACATAAAAGCCAGAGAGGGACAAAGCAACTTCCTCTATAGCTCTCTGCCTAATTCCCTTGGGAACCAGATTCTTCTTCTCTGTAAGAATGACTTCTATCTCAGGCCCCATGGCCCGAGAATGGTCTGGGTTATAAAGCTCCATTCACTTTCTGGGTTCAAAGTCAAAACTGAGAAGAAGCCTCCTCCCCCCTTTTAAGGGGCTGCAGGTTTTGAACTGAGAAACTACAGGTGAAAAGGGACAGTACTTCTCAAGACCTCATTCCCCCACCCACCCCTCCACTCACTACCCCCAAAGCCCTCTGGCACCCACACAGTCTTTGTGAAAGAGAACTGAGGCCCTGAGAGGGGAGGAGACCATCCATGTCACCATATGGGGAAGTAGAAAAGCCACTGAGTGGAGCCAGGGGCCCTCATCCCACTCTGCCAGGCCAACTCTCACTATAGGCTGGCAATAGCTCAGTGCTACCCACCCTGTCCCCTCCTCTGGAGAGAACACATTCTCACTTGACAACTTGGTAGAAAAGTCCCCAAGTCTCCACCTGGAAGTCTGGAGGTCTGCCCTGACCTCCCCACTGGACAGAAGCATCATCCCTCTATGTCCCTGGCCTTGGATTCCTGCTGATGTAAGAGGACACATGAGGAGGAACTGTGAGGGCTCTGAAGTGTCTTCCATCCTAACCTCTCACGTTTCTCCTTCCCTGCAACATATACCTAGTAGCTGTGTTTCTACAAAGGGGAGAGGGAGACATGGCAAAAAGACCTCCTCTTTTTTTTTAATTATTTTGTTTATTTAAATTCCAAATATTGCACCTTTCCTGGTTCCTCCTCCCAGTGTTCGTCAACCCCATCCCACCTCCCCTTTGCCTCCAAGAGGATGCTCCCCCTTCCCCCACCCCACGTGTTGGCACTTCGTAATTATCACCAGGTCTCTGCTGTCTGTTCCTCTTCACAGCCCAGCTTCCACGACGAATGCAAGTTCAGAGAAACCCTCCTTCCAAACAATTACAACGCCTACGAGTCAGATCTGTACAGAGGGACCTACATCGCACTGAGCAAATATGGACGGGTAAAGCGGGGCAGCAAAGTGTCCCCAATCATGACTGTCACTCACTTCCTCCCCAGGATATAAGGACCCGTGGATGAAGGCTCACAGGGTGACAGCTTCGTCTTTTCTGTTGGGATTTTACACTAAGAGAACACTTCTGCCCTTATCCTGTGACTTCTGGGTCTGGCTTATCTCATGCCCAAAGAGATGAGCTGGCTCCCTTGGCCACTGGATTGCACATGGCCGAGGGTTTACAGTTCACGTCTCAGGATGGCAGTGGATCCTGTGCTTACCAGAGGAGAGACAACACAGATGACTCTTGCAGCATGTGGCCCTATGCATAAGAAAATGGCAAGATGGGAGTATGCGTGTGTCCCTGCATATCCATACATCTTTGTGTAGATTCTCAGAGCAAAGGCATTTTAGAATACCGAGTTCCTTTCTCCCAACATCGTCAACCACAGCCATTGGCCTGTCAGAGCATCACTTGTCAAGTCAGGAGGACTGAGATGCGCCCCATTCTGCCTTTTTCTGATCAGCTATCCAGTTGTCTGAGTCACAGTGAGCAGCTATCTTTTATGTGCCAGGAGGAAGGTAGGGGTATAAAATATAATTGCAAACTAGGAAAAAAAGGGTAACCTGGCACCCTGGATTCCATGCCCGTTGGGGCTCTGGGGACGTTATGATTCATTGTTAGAGATAACTGGGAGAGAAGGGAATCCCCTCCTTGGTATAAAGTAATAGAACAGGATGAGAACATTGGGGAGCTCTGTGGAGGCAGAGGGACTGGATGTTCTGTAGAGAGCCATTCTGCCTGAAGGGCTTCAAGCTGTGTGGGGCTCCAAGAATGGGCCAGCACCAGGCTGCCTGCCCATAACGTTTCCTCGCTTTGAACCAGGTCTTATTTTAACCTCAGATGACAAGGATCCTAATAATGGCAACCTCCCTGGCGAGGAAGGGCAGTGTGCAAATTAGGGCATGAAGGAAGTCCAGAGGCTTTGGACTCGCCGGGGTGATCCCTCTCCAACTATGTCCAGGAACCTCGCCCAAGTTCTCACCCGATACCCTCACTTCCTTCTCACTCTGCCTAAGCTTACATACACAATACCGCCTGGATGCAGAAGAATTGGGTGCTGTGACCTCTAACCCCTCTTCCTCACTACAGTAAGAGAGGTGTGATAATCCCAGGAACCCGGCAGCCAAGCCAAAGTGGCTCCTTGCTCCACAATGCCTTCTTGCCTCTTGTCCTTTGAGAGTATTTTAAACCATGGTTCCCTGAGAGACTATAACTGTGGTCTGCCCAGAGCCTGTAGATTCCTGAACTGTTGGAATGTTCCTAAATCTGACACCAGAGAGAGCCGGATCAGTGCACAAATATTTTCAGCACATGTTACAAAATGACCTGACACCCTCTGCTACCCTTGGGAGCCCTGACCTGCAAGACAATCCCCTCATCTGTTGCAAATACCTCCGTCTTCAACATACCTCTCTATTCGTAGATGCACCCCTCTATAGACAGATCTGGACTCAGGGATTCTGAGCTGCAGATGGGTGGGGGTTGGCGATGCAGGAGACAGACACCATTCTGGCTTCCTCCTATGCCCTGAAAGTATCAGGGTGGACACATGATAGGGGAAGAGCGAAAGGCCAGAGCTAGATGGAGATAAGAGGTAACAGACGGTAGGAGTTCAGCCATATGGACATCCTCAAGCTTTGGATGGGAACTCAGAAGAACTGAGTCTTGGATCAGGTATAAGGGGGAGAGAAATTGGTCCATATTAACTTCTCGGATAATGAAATTCAAGTCATCTGGGAAGGAGAAAGCCATACTCTTGTAAAGACATCTTTGCCAGTCATCATCAATGGTATTACAAGGCTTGTCAGAAATGGGGTCGTTTGGGATTTCATGCACATTCATTCCTGATGTAACTGTATGGACAGGATGGCTGGGGCTGGGAACTGCTATCCAGATAGGAGGAAATGTTTTAAGCCTCAAGAAAGCCAACCACCAGCCTCCTTTCCTCCTTTCCTTCCTTCCTCTCTCCCTCCCTCCTTCCTTTCCTTCCTTTCTCCCTCCCTTCCTGTCTTTTCTAGATCTTTATGTGTACATGCCTTGAACCAGTGAAATCTAAAGAGACTGAAAGACCCTGGGCTGCTAAATCTTTCTGTCTCTTTGTTGGAGCTCACGAAGCTGCCCAAATCCTGACAAGGTTTCGTCAACTATTTACTCCTACCTCTCATGCTCCGGGTAAGAAAGAGACGCTACAGAACCCCTGGATGGGGCAGGCCTGGTGTTCACCTGCCTGGTAGCAACAGCAGCATGGCATTTCCAATGACTGACATTGGTTGTGAGAAGCGAGGGCTTCTAGCTGGCCCCAGGATTTTGCCTTACTGGTTCAATGCATGGTTCATACTTCCGACTTACTATTTCCTGTAAAGAAGTTCTCTTAAGAGGTTCCTCTTTGACCTGAAGTGACTTAGGCTTTGTACAAGTCAAACCCAATCCATAGACAAGTTAAGGGATAAGAAAAGAAAAACAAAATCATTGAGAGGTGCTGCTGATTCCTTCTGTCCTGCTACTGTGCACAGGGGTGGAGTGTTACTTCCTAACTGGTCACCTGTACTCCTTGAAGCAGTCCTTTGTAATCCTCTCACCGGTGTATGTTCTACAAACTTGTGGGGGCGAGGCTGGAGAGCTGGCTCAGTGGTCAAAAGCACTTGAAGCTCCTCCAGAGGACCTGGGTTCAGTTCCTAGTAGCCACAAGATGGCCACAACCACGTGTATCTCCCTCACATCTCTCTCTCTGCCGGCTCCAAGAGCACTGTACACATGTGCATAGACATGCAGGCAAACGTTGCATTGTTCTGCTGCCCTGTGACACCTCTGTGCTTCCTCCTTTTGATACATTTTTGATGAAAACAGTAAGCAATCTGATGATTAATACTCCATCGTTACCCTTCGCAGACTGCCGCATCCCATAGTTTCCCGCCTGACAAACTTATCCTCACACAGTGCTCCTAGCTCTCAGTCACAGCCAGACTATGGTTTAAGAAGAACAGCTTTCTTTCTTGTCATCTGAAGCAGAGGACAACCTGTCTTCCTTTTAGAAATGTATCTCTAGATGAACAGCCCAGACCCGAAATCTGATCCCGTCCCAGTCCTAGCTTGTGAAGTTTGACATTCTTCCTCTATGGCTTAGTGCCCCACTTCCCACCTCAAGACCCCAGGTTTTCCAGGTTCTCACTCTGTGTGAGTTTTGAGGAAGGAAGGACATGGAAGAGTCCATGACGCCCATTGCCCTGGTCATTGGTGCTGTGGTCGCTTGGGCAAACAGTTACCATGTGTGGTCGCTGGCCCCCATGACTCCAGGATAGCATCTCAACTAAGATTCCCTTCTGTTCTTTTTTGGTACAAAGCTAAGCTCGAAGACTTCTACAACTTTCTAGCCTTACATTTTCCCCTAAGATAAGCTCTAAGCCACTTGTTACAGAACACGTGACAGTTAGCTCTGCACAGAGGATCTGTATGAGTTATTCCTACCCTCCCTTTCCAAGACTGACCAGCCACTCATGTCACTTTCCTGAAAGAAAAAAAAAAAAAAACAAAGACAGGAATGTTGGAGACAAGGCTAGACCCTATAGAAATACTGCAGCCTGTGCTTACTTCTGAGTGGATGGCTCCTCTTCCCAGGGCAGGAGGCGAGTGGCTACCCCCAACCAGATCTTGACTCTAGGGCAGCATGCAGATAGCCAAAACGGAACCATGTTTGTATACCTCATAAACTACTGAAACCCCAGCCTCAGAGGCGGTTCTCTCACTTCCTTGGTAAGGACCTCAGGCTGGGTTCTGGTGCAGAGCCGTCCTCAGGCTTGAGGACGGTAGGTAGGAGATCCAGAAGCTGTTCAGTCATGTGCTTGAGAAATGTGATGCTTCTATTTTCTAATACGTATGTGCTATGCACAAACCATAACATGTCCCAGCAAGAAGTTAAAGGTCTTTTTATACGTTTCTCTAAACTGTTTGACTCTGCCCCTCCTATTAAAACTGAAAACAAATCTCTGGGTTGTAGTTGACTTTTTTTTTTTTTTGTCAATTTTCTACCCCCGATCTGGGATCCAGGAAGTAGGGGCAGTGGTGGTGGGGGGGCAGATAAAGGTTTGTGATGCTGTGGATGATGAAGGCAGGAAGAAATTGTGGGGGAGCCCATCACTCTTATTACTAATAGGGTATTTGTCCAAAGGGGAAAGGAAATGATCAAATGCATAAGGAGGCTACAGCCCCTACCCACTCTGCCTTCATCTAAGTTATAAGCAGTTTTCTGTGTTGGGATCCATTCACTTGTTCACACACCTAGAACTACTTAATGAGAGTCTCATTTGAGCCGGGGTAAATCTGGAGGATACACGAGAAACACGGTAGACCTCACCGTTTACTCATAGAGATGCATTATAGAAACTCATGTGGGACTGGAGAGATGACCTAATGGTTAAGAGAACCTGCAGCTCTTCCAGCAGACCTGGATCCAGCTCCCAGCATCATCTACAGCTCACAACTGTCCATTATGCCAGTTTCAGGGGATCTGACAATCTCTCCTGGCCCTGAGGGCATTGCATGCACACCGTACACTGACATACATGAAGGCAAAGTGCTCATAGGCATAAACTAAAAAGTATGTACGTCTTTTTAAAAAGATCACCTTGGGGATGGGGGGAGGGGAGTTGGGAGAAAAGATGGAGGAGGAAATTATGCAACCTCTCTCTTTAGTATTGCAAAATAAGAATTTAGATGAGGACAAAAACCATCGTTGAAGAGCACATTACCCTGTAGATCCGCAAGCCCGCTCTATAGACGCTGATGGGACTCAAAGGGGGTCCACGAGTCCATATTTATTACATGTTCCTAGGCAGCTCTGCTACTGAAAATTATCGTCTAGCAGGAGTAGAACTGCAGAACTTCTGAGCAAGGGGAGCCATCATTCCTTATGAAGTCCTTCCCTAGGACTGAGTAAAAACACTGAAGACAAAGGACCCCTTACAATGCCCTTCCTGGGCCTCCTATACCACGCCCATTACCAGGCCCTTGCCTGTTCTTGCTCCAACAATCCCCTCTCCCACTTGCTTCCTCCTGTGCCTACCACCTGGGGAGAAGAACATGTGCCTTCGTTTGAGAGATGCTGGGTTCTGAATACCTCCAGACATTCTTGGAAGATATGCTTGGCATATTCCTGCGTTTATTCATGCAGTTCATATTTCTAACCTCCTACTGTGTTCCAGAAACCACACTGGGCCATTGGAATACAATGTTGACAAACTTTACATGGGCTTATGGACTCCCAAGGAAGGCAGGTGTGAAATAATTCCAGAAAACAGTAACGAAGATATAGAAGAGACACCTCCAGTGTACTGGGAAGCTTAGAACAAGGGCCTGACCTCACACAAGTGATCAGAGAATCCATCCTGAAGAAAGCTGAAATTTTAAGGGCGTTTAAGGGCAGCAGAGAAGCTGGTGGCTGGAAGGCGAGAGAGAGGGAGGGAGGGAGAGCTCTGAAAGAATAATACCAAAGATGCTTGAAGGTAAAGCTACTAGGGAATGGGGAGAGAACACAGCATCTTGGATGTAAA